ATATATCCTTCTCTGTCCGGACATTCCGTCGCTAGATGGCGCTACTGTTGGCTTACTGGAAGCGGGGAAAAAAACACACACTGTGAGACAAACATTGCGACACATTACTGTCAAAACTCATGAAAATATTTCAACCCAGACCGGAGGATCACACACTGGCCCATGGTAAGGGGCATCCAGCGAAATAAGCAAAACAGCGATGGGAAAACTCACTAACAAGCATCATATGCCAGCTGAAACGTCAACAACAATGCAACATACACAAGCACAAACACACTCACACACTCAGCTCATTAGAGCCATGACATGGTAGTGGGCGGAAGAGGGCTGTGGGCGTGGAGGGGGCTTAAGGATTTACTGTGCCGGCTTAGCAGGAGCAGCAGCCGGAAATGCAGCAACAGCAGCAGTGGAAGCGTCAAAAGAAGCTACAGAAATTGGAACAAACGCGACACAAGCTTCGTCAGTACAGTGAGCACTCGCTTAACGATTTCCTAACATCTCAAAACTCCTAAAATTGTAAGTAGAGCTATCAGAAAGGAATCAGATGTTTAAACAATCGATTTATACTATGTTTTTTTTAAATGTTTATCAAATATATCAGAAAGAAAAATACATTTGGATGCAATTTACAAAATATTTATGTACCATTTATTTTTCAAAATTAATTGTAAAATACTTAATTTGAATTCAACGAGAAAATTATATATGATCATAAATCAATAATTTGATAGCTTATTAAACTAAATAATTAACTTATTTAATATTTAAAATTTAACTAATCATGAGTAAAACATCAAATTCCCCATTTATGAATGATCTCTGTAGCCTTAGCAGACTCAGGATATGGGTTCAGCTCCTGTTGCTGCAGTTGTAGTTTCATTCAACATTCATTTGTTTCCAACTTGTTCACTGTTCTTAGTTTTTTTTTTTTGCTTTTGGGGATATGCTCTACAAAATCTTTTTTTAGTTTACCTATATATTTTTAGGCTTTGAATTCACCTAATATTAATTTACTAAGATTAGAACATCTAAATAATGGCTTCTGTTTACATTTATTTGTATTATTATTAGTACAAATAGGTTTGTACGCTCTGCAAAATTTCAAATCAATGATCAAAGCAATTTGTTCCTTAATCGCAAATTGGCAATATTTACAAGGTCAACCCATTCATATATCCAATGGAATTTCACTGAAGCTCAAGCTTTTGTGGCAAACTTTTCAGGTACCAACGCTAAAGGGTATTCAAACAGTTAACTGATGAGCCGTGAGAGGCATTCTCTGTTTGCTGTAGCTGGCATTTTCTGACAGTTACAAAAAGTTGCCTGATGATGTTATGTTTATGTGTCGCTGACACTGCCACTGCCACCCCACCGCCTCATGCTTTTCCTCGTTACCAGTCCAACTTCCCACCATCGCACCACCCACATCCACTTTTTCAGAGACAGCGATGCGATGCCCGCCGTCATAATTGCACCTGCAAGGCTAACAGTCGCAGACAGCGTGGAGGTGGGGGGTTTGGAAAACGGGGGTTTCCCGGGAAGAAAACCGGAGGTGGAACAGCTGCAAAAAAAGACGCACGAGGAACAATGACACGACAGAAATATGCCAAGTAGCTGACTCCCTCCCTACCCCGCATCGCCGAAAGTGACGGCGGAAAAGTGAGGGCGGGGCGGGCGGAGAAGTGGGGAGACATATGATGCATATCGCAAATGTCGTTTGCTGTCAGTTTCCGGTTGTTGCAGCAGCCATTTTGTTTATGCATGAACACGAATGCGACTGCAACTGCAACTGCAGCAAAAAGAAGGCCAAAAAAGATTGGGTGGAAAGTGGGGGAAAAAAGCAAGGGGAAAAACAGGTAGGGGCGGCCAGGTGGGCGGACAGGCCGGGACAGGTGGCCCATGGTTAAAGTGTAAACTAATTTCGCGCTTTGCACTTGGTTAGCTCGACATTGAGTTATGATTTTTGGTTTCCTTTTGGGGTCAACACTCACGTGGCACGTGATGCCCGGCTTAAAGTCATATTTTATGGATATCGTTCGTTCCACCACCCCGAATCCCAAGAATAGCCCACGTTCTGACAGCTTCACGCTCGATGGCGGTTCGTCAGAAGGGTAAACAGTCCCATAAGTGCTTACAAATGGGTTATATCAATCAATCAATCAAGACGACATCAGGGGGATGCGCTCAACTGCTTATGATTTGATTACTTAAAAAATTCTATGTTATTATCCAAGTGGATGAGTTAAATTATATAAAATAAACAAATGAAAACCAACCGTTAATATATATATGTTATTATCCCAGTAGATAAGTTAAATTATATAAAATAATCAATGAATACCAACTGTTAATATGATAAAACCATAATAGGGACTCCGAAGCTGATTCTACGCATGCTTACCGATAGCTCATCTCCAGTATCTTCGATTGACATTGAAGAACGATGAATTCAGCTCATTCCCCATTGATTAAGTCAAAGTCTCGCCAAATGCCGCTGAATGCAATGGACAATTGCTTTGTCTTCTGGTGACTCAAAAGCATACGTATACATGGACACAAACAAGGACACACTTGATCGGGTTAACATAAGACACGATGACTGGCCACAATGTTTGAATGATGATTAGGACGAGGCACTTGCCAGCCACTCGACTTGATTCGTCGGCATGACGAATCACTTTATGAGTCACCATAAAAAAAAATTACTCCGCAAAAGTTTGATACCCACACTTTAACATACCCTATATAACTAGATTTAAAAAGAGATATTTAATTCGTAATAAAATTTTGAATTCGTAATAAAATTTCCAATCGAATGGCATTCACAGTTAAAATTTTTTCAGATTTTCAAATTTCTGCAAAAAATGATGATTAGAAAAAAGTCAGAAATTTGGACATAAATTTGGACATGGAACGATCAGGGATGGATGGTATAAGTTGCTATTCAAAATAGCAACTCTTTTGACTTAGGGTCTTATTTTGGCAAAGTTAGAACAAAAAGGGTATAAAAAGATGATGTTGAATGATTCTGTTTATTTATAGTCCCGTGACCCGAATGCCTTAAAATATCTCTCAAGCTAAACAACTTCATCGGTGTCCTGTAAAAAACAATTAGCCCTTATATTCAGTGCTGGCATTTTGTCCCTTTTCCCTTAGTCAAAGCAAACTTAGCAGACGAGGAGTGTGTGTGGACTAAAAGCAAAAGGCAATTAAATGTCATAAAAGTGCCCGCAACGTACTAAAATAGGGATTGAAATCTCTTCTCTCTGTCTTTGAACTTGAGACGAAGGGCAGCAGCTGGGACTGCGACCACAGGCGCGGGGTTCAAGCAACCGAGCATGTCTAGACAAAGTCAGCTTTATCCTTCTCAGACAACAAAGTCTTTATTAGCTGAACGACGGATTTTTGGTGCAGATCGTATGACGTGATATTTATTTCCATTTCATGGCCGAGAGGAACGTTAAATTAGCGAAAATTCGACGATGCTTCAGCTACGAATTGTATCGCATATATGGCACTGGAAATTGAATATGTTGAAAGGGAGGCAAACGAATATGCTTTTAATGCTGTCAATTTAATTACGATGTTAGTCACACAAATTCCGTTAAACACTCTTGGGTCTTGATTTGTTTATTAAATCTGCCACAAAAAACATGTGAGAGACTTTAATCATCAATTTCGTTTATATTCGTTACATATAACTGACAAATTTTGAGCATAGCTCTTTTCGTTTTACAGTTCAATAAAAATATCAAGGCTAATAAAAATTGAACTGTAAACCGAGCGAAAACAAAAGCAAGAGCACATGTTTTGTAATTAAAATATAGCAAAAGAAACAAAAGTATATTAACATACACAAAACCGCAAACTATGTTGTCCTGTACATGGATTCTTTAATAATAACAGAAGCGCATAAAAAAATCGTTTGTGGAAATAAGTGAAATAATTGTTATGGGTTAACAAACACCTAAAGTTTTTATTTTAAATGTGAATTGAAATTGACACTTGTTGGCTTTAAAACAGCGGAGTTTTATTTAATTAACGGAATTTGGTTGCTGACGACGTATTACAAATACACACATGTTGTTGAATATGCATTTTAATCTAAATTTTGTTGTCTATGATATCAACTAACCTTTGCAATGTTTTGTTAAATTCATGTTCATATCAATATAATCGATAGCAATATCGATAATTTTTCAGCTCTACAATTACAATTACAAAAGAAATGCTTGAACTCTCTTGCACAAACACACACGGATGTGATAATTTTCGGCGTTAGTTTTTTTTTAACAGTTTCCTCTTACTCACTCCTTATTTTCTCCTTTCACGCACACCAAGGCAAGTGAAAGAGAGTAGCCCGTTAGGTGTCATTATCGTTCTTGCTCACTTAGTTATCCCTGCAAATGTCCTTCGTGCTCTCGTGTGTGCGTCTGTGTGGGTTGGGTCCATTATGGCCCAAATAGTTGTGCGGTGTATGGGTTGCGAAAACTATATTTTTGAAGCTGTGCTGGCCAAGAAACCGTTAGATGGAGTCATTTGAGATCAGAGCCGATTACGGTTATTTGGTGTCTAAATTAGTTTGGATGCGTCGACGTGTGAGAGGGTCCGCTTGCCTCAAAGATTAAAATAAAGTATAGTGTGTTAAGGGCTCTGACATTATTTTTAAGTTTTTGGTTTTAAAATGGGTATATCATTTTAAATAGCATTAACAGAGGGTTCTGGTATCAACACATTAATTTTGATTCCATTAGGGCTATTATTACTATTCATTTCATAAGAGACATATTTATAAAGATTTTTCGATTCAAGGAAGCTAATAACACAATTTTTTATCAATAATTTGAAAAGTGGTTACAAGCCGGTAACAATAATTCTAAAGTTTCCAAAGAGATACCTGAAAATCTCTTAAAAATGTCTAAGAAAAGGTTATTTTTTGAGTATGCACAAACTTTTTTTTTGCAGATAAAAATAACTTTTTATGTTACAGGCTTTGCAAGTTAAAATTTTAAGTTTTCATATGATCTGTGATTTTTTCACTCCATCTTAGTTTACAAAGTGCGCGGATTAACTCGGTTTTTAGCATTTTTCGAGCGAATGGTCTTCGTCTTCGTCTCGTTGTTAACAGTTCTTAGGTCCCAGTTCTGGCCTTTATCCGCGACCCGTGTGTGCTTTGACTCTTTTTTCACAATTTCCTGGCTTGGAGGTTCCTCCTCCTCGACTAGTATGTCAACCACTTCCGGTTCGGGGGGTGGAGGTGTTTTTGTTGGTTCCGATTCAGCGGGAATGTATACCACCGCCGGTTGATCCTCGATAGCAGCCATAAGCTTATCGAAGCAGTGATGTTTGCTATCGAATCCCGGCTCCGGATCCTCCTTCGGCAGACTGTCGTCGGAAATCTGTGATTGGGTGGTGAAGCGATCGTATTGAAGGTATGGGTACGAGTCAGTTGAGTCGTGTTCGCAGGGATGACACTCCTCCTCGGCGATTTCGGGGATGAAGTCGATATTCTCGCTGCATAGACTGTCCGTTAATGTGGCGAACTCGTCGTGGATCAGGCGCCTGGCCAACTCCACCGTGGCGAACTCGTTGTAGTGCAATTTGCGGCGACGGGCGAAGGACATGCGGCGTGCCCGTTCGTTCAGGGTTTCCGGAAAGTCCAAATCATCCGACTCATCGGAACTGGAGGATGGATCCCGCATGAAAAAGTCCGGCATCATGTTCCTGGCCTCCTTGTGCAACTTTTGCCTCAGCTCCTTGAAACACATTACTGGTTCCCTGGGCAGTCTTGGCGATGACGATGATTCGAAGTGTATTTCGTAGGGATCCGAGTGAATGGGATATCCCAGGTTCATCAAATCAAATGTTGTCTTCTTAGCCGTCATGGTCAGTAGTTGTATTGTGTGAAAACAATGGTTGTTAACTTATTTTAAATATTATTATTATTATTTGTGTATTTTTGAAAATATTTTATGTGGATCGTTGCCAGTCTAGATATGGAATGAGTGTTGATGTACCAGCTCACTTTGAAGTTGAGTTTTGGGTGACTGGTTAACTAGATTGTAGTTATATCGTATTCTATGAGCCAAAGAACAGAGTTTACATTGCTAGAAGCTTTTGATTTGTACGGATTGAAAATTGTTTCATAGCTATCTATCTACGAATTACATTTTATTTTAATTTATTATGTTCACCCTACCCGTTCTCCCCATTGAACCCAAATTTTGTTTTCTGTCTGGGCCCATGGCTACCAGATTGTTTTTGATAATGGCAGAGATTCGCTTACATTCCATAATTTGATGTCACATTTTTTTTTACCACAACGCGGGTAAAGTGTTTGACCTTTGGTGCGAGTTGACATCAAGAAAAAAAAGACCAGAGAAATGTGTTTGTTAGCCAATTTCGATTGTGTCAAAAGGGAGCGTTATTTATTGGGCCGCAGGCGTCATTGTCTAGCCATCGATGGGAATAAATATGCCAGCGGAGTCTCACAAGGATGCATAAATTGTCAAATCGAGATTTCGGCTTTCGATGAATTTAATTGGATTGAAAAGTTTTCTTCGCGTATCGCCAAAACCGAAAATTGAGCTGTTGAAACGTGACAATTCCACCAACTCAAACACAACCGCAGCAGCAAATACGCATACAATTAAACTGAATTTTCGGCATCTGGTTTCGAGATACAAGTGCCTTTTTTGGACACCATTTGACCCACATTTAAAGAACGAATTCTGCCAAGAATAAAATGTTTATTTTGCATTTTATGGCAAAAGAGAGAGCGCTAAAATTATTTACGCAGCATCAGGCATGTCATTTGCATGTGCCACGCCCCCTGCTCCAGCACCGAAAAATTCAAGGCAAGCCAAACTAACCAATGAAATCCACAAAAATACGCTAAAAGTATTTACATTTGACTCGGAAAAATTATACATTTCCGTGCAAATAAAAAGCAACGCAGGGCATCTCAGTCGATGGCTGGAAAACGGGGCGGACAGCATCGAGGAGATGCCCGGAAATAAAACCAGAATCAGAACCAGGAAGCGGATTAAGGGTCTTCGAAGAAAACCCATGAACTTCAGATGCTCTCAAAGCAAAAACACGAATAAAAAATCAAAAATTGACATTTTCCAAAAATATTTAAAATATTCTAAATATACAAATCGAATCGAATCATTTTAAATACATACAGTAATATCATTAGATTTTAATTTTAAGCAGAGTAAATTATGAGGTTAAATATAGTTTTATATATAGTTATAGTTATAGTTTTTGGTAAGATTTTGTATTCATAAATTTTATTGTTTAAAAAAATAATCACATTTTTCTGAAATTTTTTTTACTTTTACTTCTTTATTCATTTAATAATTGTTAGGTCAGCATAGGAATGCCGATTTTTCTTAAAATATCTTGTAGATGTTAAGTTAAAGTTATGTATTTAGAAATTAATAAAACGTTTTTTTTATTATTTTATAAGGACATACATTCTTTTTTTAATATTGTGGCTACTCATTCGTTACAGCATAACGGCAGGCGTGGTAAAAAAGCGCGTTACCAAAGAGGAAAGAGCTCCAAATCCGCAAACAAACACTGTGACAGTTACAATGCGGGAACTGAAAAGTGGGTGTTGTTGGGTGGAAAGGCATTACCCGGCAGAATGAAATGTACTCTCTATTGACATTTGATTCGGCGAGTGAGGCTGGGAAATAAAAAATATATATATCTGGATGTGTACAAGTGCAGAGCGGACCCAGTTAGCCCGAGTTTTGCGGGGTAAGTGCGGAAAAGAGGGCAGCCGAGCTCCTCACTTTGTTGCACAAAGCCTTGCTCGGATTTCGCTGAAGGAAAACTCTACGCTTTTCCCACTTCGAGGCTGCCGTTTTCGTTTCATTGTTTGTTTGTTTGGTTGGTTTCGTTTCGTTTCGGCTCGTTTTGTTCCGTTCCGTTTTTGCTTTTGTTTATTTGACTGTGGATTGTGTTTCCGGTTTCAAGGCTTCCAGGCTTCCAGGCTCCCATCGCCAAACCATCGCCAAACCATCTCGAATCCCCTGTCCTGTCGCCTTGACGCATAAATTTGCCTTAATTTGTCGCAAAATAATTTCATTCATTTACGTGCTGCCATTTACATGGCCCTCGGTCCTCGTTGATAACTTATTTAAGCGCTTTCCCCAAGCAAAGGAAAAACAAAATTTGAACAAAATAAATTATCAAACTGTCACATTGACGTATCGCCCAAGTGAGACAATCCGGGCAAACCGAGGAGCCAACAGGGAAAAGTCGAGCCAATCTCCTGGCCATAATCTAGAGCATCATGTTGCTCGTTTAAAGGATGTCAAAGGTTGGCCATATATCAGCAAAAGGCATCAAACGCAGTCGAGTCGAGGCGTCGGCTTCAGCCCGTTAACAATTTCATGTAACAAATTCTTTGTGCCTGATGCCGGACATGGATACATGGTCAGGAGTGGCTGCCACTGGAGTGGGTGCAGAAACGCACTCGGAAAAATTAATACAAGGTTTACTATATTAATAACTTTGGTAGACATTTATTTTCATTCACCGACACAAGATGTTCCTTTCTTAAAATAATTATTTTGTAGTTATCTTTTAAATAGAATTTCTTTTTCTCCAGACAGCATCCAGTTAAGTAGAGATTTTAAAGTACAATCAAATGGAAGTAAAATTAAAATGAAAGTAAAGTAGTTAATTTGAACTACAGTTTTTTTTTCCAGTGCGGACATTCGAGCTGTTTCAGATTTCCAATAAATATGCCTAGGGTGGACGTGGTCCTTCCACTGATCCTAATACTGCCGTGGGTTCTGCTTCTGTTCTGTTCAGTTCTGGACTCGAAACCACCGCACTTCCTGCTGTCTGCCACCCACTGTCGCTTATTTGACATCCTGACAGTTTCGACAGTTTGCCTCTCGTTTCTCGCTCCACGACAAAGTGCGTAGGGACGCAGGACGCAGGACGAAGGACGAGGGGCAGAACTTTGTTTATTTATATGGTTTACTCGGGATGTGTGTGCTGGTTACCTTGTGCCCGGCGCTGCGGTTTCTACCGTAAACGTTGCTTTGTTGTCGAAGGCGCGGTCCGGGACGGAAAAAGCGGAAAAAGCGGGAAATGCCGCAGAAAAATACCCAACGCACGCGGGGTTCAAGGTGTAGCCCAGCATGTGACAAGGATTCGATGCTAACCCAGCTCTCGGGATGTGTATTTATGAACGCCACTGTTGGCCACTAACAAGCGGCTAAAATCTGTCGCCAACAATGCTGGCAATTGGTTGTGGAACACGGGGAAAGACGTCAATCTGATAGGGGCTTAGATATGGCCAATTGATATGGGTACAATCTGTCTGGTGTTTCAGGGTGATCAAAATTGAGGGTTCTGACGCTTCACACTTAACTAAAATACGTATCTTTTTATAAGTTTTTATAACTAATGTTTATGCCACATTAAGAAATACGGATATAACTAATTAAAATTTTTAATATAATTTAAATGATACAAAACATAATCATATTAGACAGTATGCTTCAAATAAAAATTATTTTATAAATTTGTTAAAATTAAAAACAATTTGCTAAGATTCTCTCTTTTCAATTACGAAAATGATATTTTCTTATCGCTAAACAAATAATTTTAGACAAAAGAGGATTTAAAACCATAAAACCTTAAAGTCTTAAGCTTAGCCACCTTAAAAGAATTTTAATTTCATTTCATACTTGATAGTCATTGTTTCATGCCCTCTGTGTTTTTCCTATGAATTGTCACCCGAGACTCTGTAATTTCTGACTACTTTCTCAGTAACTTTGGCGGGGCGCAGTCTTCGCCTGATACAATTTGCGGCAAGAGGTTTAAAAGGTAGCAAGTGAAACGCAATAACTCACTACTGAGCTCGAATTCCAGTCGAGATTGAGCTGTGGATTCGGATCTGATCCCGACCGATTGGCACACATATTTTCCGCTTTTGTTTGCAATTATGGGGCAGATGGAAGCAGCTCTTGGAAAGGGGCGATTAACCTGGCCATGCTCCATCCCGTTTTGCTGGGAACTCGGGCCCTTGTTGATTTTGCCGATACCGCTGCAGGCCAACGGATGCTATGGACACACAAGACAAACGGATGGACAGAAAGTTGTTTGCTTCATTGGCTGCCACAAAATATCAACAAGCATTTTGTTTATTTTCTCAACAACACACACAAGTACACACATCCATTAGACGGAGGGGGGTGAAGGCGATGTACTGACTCTTTTAAGTGCATGTTGTTTTAGCGTTTGTGACATGCAACTGCCGGGGGGAAATCGAACTGAATGGAAACGAAGGTTCAGTCCCGAATTTATGCATCTGCAATAGCATGTATCTATTGTTTAACCACCGAAGTGCTTGGTCATCCGTCCTTCAGCTGAAGTGCCATTTTTAAGGCAATCGGAATTGGCAAGTGAAAAACTAGCCAGCTGTCTTTCATGTTTGTGTTTGCTTATTGATTATTCGATTGGCTTTTCATTTACGTTAAATTAGTTTTCAAATGCCAACGGGAAAACTTGTGTACTTGTAAATGTTTCTGCACTCACAGATTTTTTGGGTTCAATTTTTGGAGTTGCCTTAGAATTTATGTAACAAATCATTTTTATTTGCTGTGCTAATTATCCAGAAAAAACCACTCAATGGCTTGAGCTCAAGAGTTGAACAGGATTAATTTAAAAATTATTAATACTATAATTCTAAGACAATTCTGTAATTCTCTTAAATTTATTAATATTATCTAATGACACAAACTTCATTTTTAATAATTATCTCTCTAAATCTTATTTTAATAAATGTATTTTTAAGGCTTAAATCTTTTTGATTTCAAACCACTTAGAAAACTTCTTGTTTTGTGGGAGTCTCATGCAGATGACTTTCTCCTGCACATTCCCCTTATGATATATGCAAAGTTGGTGGTAAATTTATGCAGTTGTGACTTTGCATAGTAGCTGTGAGTTCGGATCTCTGGTTCTGGGCTCCTCCGATCAATGCCAGTGCC